ATATAAAAACGGGGAAAAAAGAGAAAAAATGTATAAAAATGAAGCCTAAAGAAGGAAATGGGAGCAGTGGAGCAGTGTCCCTGCTGCCAGGCACAGAGCCCGTGTCTGGGTTCGTTTCTCAACCCTGCCCGCCTTATTTGAAACCCGAGCCTTGGCACAGCCAGATCTCCTCGGGCATGGGCAGCGAGGGCTGCCAGGGAGATTTTCCTTCGTTTTTTGGGCCAGGAGCAGGGCACGGCCCCTCCCAGCAGCCCCGGAATCACAGCTCTGCTCCTCCGAGGGTATAAAAACAAACAATTCAACCTGTAAATGCAATTCTGCAAGGGTTTTTGCATTCCTGTAAGGCTCTTATTGGGAATTATTCTTGGAATAGTCCCTAAGTCTTCCAGGATTCCCCTTGGGATACTGTGCTGGAAGTTTTTAAGGAATTTTCTAAAGGTTTACTCATTTTTGCATTTTCTTTAAGGAAGGAGCTTTGCAACACCACCTTTCCAAATAAATAACCGTGTTAACAGCAAGTCTCTTGGAGCTGCGTGCAACACAATATTTATGGACAATATAAATTTAAAATAGGAGGGAAAATGATTAGAAGTAGCAATTTGTGATTCTTCCGGAAGAAATGATCATAGTGGCATAAAATGGTTTGGGGTGAAAGGGATCTTAAAGATCATAATAGCAATGATGATAATAATAAAGGTAATAGCAATAATAGATGTTAAAACCCCAATAGTTTAAAATCACCACTCATTTATAACTTAACATAATTTGGAAAGTGATGTGCCCCACCACCAACAGCAATTCCACTGATAAATAAAATATCAATTATCACTTAAGAAAAGCTCCCGATGCTTGAGAACTGCTTAAAACAAATTAATGGAAACTTCGAAGGGCCGGATCGTTCTCGCCTCCATCAGATGACTAATTCCTCTAATTCCAAAGGCCAGGAAATTTGGGCACATGTTGAAAAAGGTCCCCAGCACGCCAATGAATCGTTTTTCTGTTTGAGATGCCTCCAGTCTGAGCTCATTACGCCGCAAACCCGGCGTGCATGGAAGTGATCTGTAACAATCCTGAGGCCTGGGGCCCTTTTCCATTTGGGATTGATACATGGGGTGGAATCTGCATTTTTCAGCTAACAGTACAACCAGTGTGGCTGCAGTTCTGCTGCAAAGCCGATGCAGGAAATACAAGAGAGTCCTTCAAAAATATTCCCACTTGCCTTGGACTGGCTGCAGAGCTTGTTTGTAAGGGGGAGAAAAAAATTAAGAACCTGCTGCAAAATTCAGCTTCTTCCCTGGTCATCTATTTCGTTCTCAGTGTAATTCTGCCAGAACAAATATTATTTTTGAATCTGTGATGATCCCTGGGCCTGGGAAGAGCTGGAGCAGCGTGCTGGTCCGGGATGCTGCAGGCCAGGATGTGCCAAGAGCATGGCCAGGCTGGATGGGGGCACTGGCAGGGCAGGAGAAGCCAATTCCCAGGAAAAATCCACATCGCTGGTGCCTGCCAGGGGCAGGGGCTGGTTTGTCACATCCAGAGGGTGTGGGGTGTTTCCATCAGCTCCAGGCACTGTCCTCAACCCCAGCCATGGGATGGGCATCTGTGGGGGCAGAGTGACCCAAACCCGACCCAACCTCCAACCCCTGCACCTCCTTGGTGCTGCATTATTTTATTTTATTACTACTTGATTTATGTAAAAAATATAATTTATCTATCTCTGTAATTTGTATTTTATATGTGTATATATATATGTATATATGTATATATGTATGTATGTATATATGTATCTATGTATATGTGTATATATGTATATGTGTATGTATGTATGTATGTATGTATGCATGTACACATATTTATGCATATGCACGCACACAGATACCCCAATTTCGCTAATTCCAGCTGGATTTTGGGGCGCTCGGGGCTGTTTCTGTTCGGAGCCCCCCAGACCCCCAAACCCGGGGGGACCCGGCCCCGCCGCGCGCCCTCTGTCGGGCAGCGCCCGAACTGCAGCGGGTCCCTGTCCC